GTATGCCCACACTTACTACGGTGTCACATTTAGAAGCTAAGTGTGGAGTCGCACTTGGGAAACAATGTATGAATGGCTTTTCGCTGCCGTGGCAAATAATGAAGATATCGATGTGAGCTCGCATTTTATGTACACCATTTTCAATCATAACCATTCTGTGTGCCAGGCAAATTTTCAGAAACTCATAATTATTCGTAGATTTTAAAACCAAAAATAAGGTAAAATTCTACAATTAGCACCAAGAATAAGTGTATGTAATCAAATTTGGTTTGTGTTCATAGATTTTACTGTAGCGTTTCCATCGTGTAACATTTCAATCGGTTATGAAATCGAAAGGCCATTTTGTTCTTTCTGCTTGAACAAGGAAAATTCTGTTCGAATAAAGAGAAAATTCTTACCGCGCTTTTATATTATTAACACGTTTTCTTTGGTTCTTTTTTACATTTTCAGGCAAATCTTTCGAAACGAAGTCGATATATTGGTTTAAACATGGAGAATGCAACCAGCTCCAAAGCCACCAACTTGGAACAAATCTTGCAGCAAACTGGACTCAACGAAGACTGTTTGGTCAATATCTTCAAATGCTTGAGTGGATGCGATTTGGTGACACTATGCGATTTGGACTATGAAAACGATACATCATTAACGGATCTCATAAATGACCGTGTGATCAGCTCATTGAAAATCTATGATTTTGGACGATTACCAGCCAGTCACGTGTTTCGATATTTCGGTCGGTCACTGCAACGATTTAAGGTAAATCAAATTGATCATTAGAGATATGAGTTCAATAAACCCAATTCTTGTGTGCAATTTGTTCCAAACATTTTAGCTACGGATTCAAACAGAAGCATCCAGCGATTTCTTGGAAAATGTCATCAGATACTGTCAAGCACCAGGCCGTTTACGCGAAGCAATTTTAGCTGTGGACACAGATTGCCCAGGATTCAATTTTGATGACGATCTATGGGATCAAGTGCAGCCATTTTTTCAAAACCTTGAGAAATTAAACATCGATAATAAAAACGATGATATGCTCTTCCCGTCAGAATTCTTCGGTCAACTTGATTTTCCCAACCTCAAAGTGCTGACTCTCAAACATTTCTATGAAAACAAAACATGGATGGAATTTCTTCCAAATCCACAAACGTGTGCAAACATCACCGAATTATGGTTGATCGATATCTGGTTGATGGAGGAAAAGATGATTGATTTCAAAAAGTTTCTCGATCGACTGCCAAATCTTGAAGTGTTTGTTCATACGCGCGGCAAGCTAGGAATTGTTCCGGTCGCTGAAGAGCTGCATCGACGATTCCCAAATTTGCGTGGTTTTGGTTACAGCATTAAGGGAGAAACTAGACTAATTGCTATCGATGAACACTTGAGGATATCTGGCCTTGAAAAATTCACCAATTTGACCGAATTTCATTTGCAAATTTCTCAATGTCGAAATTTACACAGTCTCTTTCGATTCGTGCCAAATATCAAAGTCCTAGGCATGTGGCAAGTCGACACTTTGTTACACGCTCCAGTCGAAGTTCGTCGCATTGTAGAATCGATCAGACAAACTATTGCCGATCGCAGTGACCGCTCTCCAGCCAACGATCATGTTCATCTTCTTGTCAACCGGGCTCAATATAATGATTTCAACGTGCTCAAAAATATTTGTAACATCATACGCCTTACTGTACACGAAACGACGTTGCAATTGAGAGGGTGAACAAGTGAACAACATCGACCAATTCAACCACAGACATTTAAAATGTACCAAAACAATTACGTTCGCTCATAGAAAAAATAGTTTATTTCCAGGGCAACAAAAAATATTTATTTAAATAAAAAATATTTAAATAAATATTTTTGGCTTTTTTTTGGGAAAATAAATATTTCTGCATATTTGAGTTTTTCGTAAATATTTTAGGGTTTTTAGTGTCTTTTCATACATATTTTGAGCATTGATACATATCCCGAAATGAATATTTCGTCGAATAAATCCCAACACTCTTTGCAAGCGAGGGGCAAATCACTCTCAAGTAATTTTTAATAGAGAAAGTAATTTAGAAAGTAATTTACGTGTAAAAATTACTTTAGAGTGATTCGCTCGTTTGCACGTCTGTGCACGACTTGACAAACCATGATCAATTAAAACAAAACAGCAACTCTGCAATATAATGCTGTTTGCACAATGTACATTCTACTGTGTAGCCAGATCGACATTTTTTTATACTGCCGTTCGCCGAAATATTGCTTGCATTTGCGAGTGTCAATAATCGCATTTCATGTAAACAACTAACGATGATATTTAGTCTCGCGCACAAATGAAATTTGGTGTTTTGAATTTCGTTCTCGAGTCGAGACAATTAGTCTGTCTCGATTGAAACAATTAGTTCTCTGAGTTGAGTGACAAAAACGACATCGACATGCGGAAGGGTAAAGAAAGTTAAAAAAAAAATTTCGAACGAATGTTGACGGAATTTCTAGGCCAATTTCGTACGGATAGCAAAGTTTTGTTAAAATTAATGTGCGATATTGAAGTAAACGCGCAGCAAAAACAAAGGGCTGGCATCAGTCAAGCAAATTTCGAACATTCTTGTACTGGGAAAATTATTATTATTCTGCACCATACAGCGTTTCTTCGCCAGAGGTGGTTTATTTAGTATAAATAAAATCAACGGCACCAGATGAATATGTCGATAGTTTATCGCCACAGGAGATAAACGCATTCAAGTTTTCGCCAATCACAACATCCGACGTTGAACGTTCATTTCCCTACTACAAGAATGTTTTGACTGACAACCGACGCTCGTTTTTATTCGATAATTTGTCCAAACTTTTCATCATTTAAAGTTGGTTCAGTGAAAAAAATTGAAAAAATGTCAAAAAATATACACGATTTCAAGCTATTTTCCCATATTTTTTATCATAAATATTTTCAGTACTTTAGTGGTTTTTCGTAAATATTTCAATGTTTTTTCATAAATAAATATTTACATATTTTGACTTTTTTCGTAAATATTTTTTATTGCCCTGTTTATTTCCATTCAAATTGTTTTTTTTTTTCATCGAAAATAAGCACAAATAAGAATAAAAATAGATACAGAATCAAAATTGGGGAATTACTGAATGGTCAAGAAAAAAAACAGCGTATGATACGATCATGTACACAAAGCGCAACTCAGAACATTTGCAGAACAAAGCGAAACAAAATTTTGATGTTGAGATAAATTGGAAACACTGGATTTCTAGGTACACAAAATCTCTATGTCATCCCTTGTTCTGACAACATGTGAAGTGTTTCGTTTTCTTCTAGTAACCAAATTTTATTTTGCTTTGTTCTGCGAAGCACTTCAACACCTATTCATTTCAAGGAGCTCAATTTTGAGCGGGGGTTTTGTAATTTTCTGTGCACCTTTTTAGTTCAGAAAAAAGTTTTGGCTTTAATTTTAGAATTCAATGGGTATGAATTCAATGGTATTGAGTGAAAAATCACCGACTGACTCATCGGTTATCGCTTCGAAAAGTGGATTACCCACACATCTGCTTAGATGCTGCACGTTTATCTGAATATGAATAAATTGAACGGCGATAACGGTGACTTTTCTGCGTTTGTCTATTTCATTTTAAATTCTGTCTCGCTCCCGGTGATTCCCATCTAAACCATAACAAACTCACACATACCACATGACAGCGAGTGATTTTAGTATAAAAGCCAGTTTCATTTCCACTTGAGGCATCAAATCATCCGTAGCATTCGTTGAAAGTGTTACCAGTTATTCGAATCAATCCAAAATGAATACTTTGTTGTGTGCAACCGTAGTTATTGCTGTCTTTGGCGCAATCGCTTCAGCTTATCCATCGTTTGACGAAGTGGAGGACGCATCTTGGAATCGCATTCCGAAAACTTTTGTTACGAGCTCAGACATGGAAATTGAAAATCAAGACGAAGTAAAGCCATTGGAACACGACCGCAGTCGTCGATCACCGGGAGACGATCGAACGAAAATCTATGCCGAAGGCAGTCACGATCGCAGAGGAGGCAGCAATATCTATGTGCAAGGACAGCATCGCGTGTGGCAGAGCCAAGACAAGAAGAATGAAATTCACGCCAACGGACAGTTTGGCCAGCACTTTGGTGGACCAGGTGGTCGGTCACCACCAAGCTATGGCGGTGGCTTGACATACAGTCGTCGGTTTTAGAGAAACTGGATAGAGCTTGAAGTTGGGAAAACAAAATTATAGAAAGATAAAAGAAAAATTGAGCTTTCACCTAATTGATTTTGTTTTTATTTT